AAAAAGTAAACAAATTCTGGTATTATTGACTCAAAGCAAAGTAATATAGATGGTTGGCTTTGATGGCTAAATTCGAATAAGTTGAACAAACATGGCCTAAAACCAAATTTGTTTCTTCTCATACAGAAAAGTATCTCGTAGTTCCAACTGTAGCCACAGTATTGTTTGTTTCCTAGAGTATGTTTATTCTTCCTAGTATGCCACGATATTCAGATCGTTTGTTTATTATTTTTATTTTTCCAAATTATAAACTAGAAGATTTATGATCAATGCATGGGATAACTAACTAAATCAAATGTAACTTTCATGTTGTCTACTTGTTTATAATATTATTAATAAAGCTAGATAAATAATATTTCATTCTAGTTTTAATGTAGAACATTTGATATAATGTTTGTCAATTAAGGAGAGGGTACATTTTCTCCATGAGAATACATAATTAGGTGTTCTTTTGTTTTAATTGTACAATCTCGTTGATCTCGACATGGAATAAGATAATCAGACAACTTTGAATGGCGAAATGCAGCACGATGAAATGGATCAATTAATTTCTCGCATTTTTCATCCTTATCACACATTGGTGCCCTGTGTGGCTTATGTTCTAGATGAGGATGATCAGGAATACATCGGCATAATTCTGAATAGCGGCAAGGATGAGAATATATCCCATTGTGTGCTCTCGAGTACTTTGGTGAATATCGCAAGAGACAATTGATGGAATCTGGGCATGGTTGACAGCGTGATACATTTTCTTTACTAGCGGCTTGATCTTTGTCTTGCTTTATGACTGGTGACTTTTGTGTATTTTCATTCCTCGACAACGAATGAATATCATTGGCAGGACTTTGATTCAATATTGTTATTAGGGATTCACTGTTCTTTTTTGATTCTTTATTGATATACGGATGATATGCTTGGATAGGTTCGTGTGTAATAATTAGATTTCGTATCGGTAGTATCCGAGCACCTGCACTGACATGTACATAATCGAGAGTATTTAAATCGAGTTCAGATTTCCGAAATGTATAAGTAATTATTTGATGATTATAAATACTATTCGATCTAGCATGTGTTAATAAGGCTTGACCAGTGCTTTTTCTAATAATAAGACAATAAGTGGTATAATCATCTGTATCACAACCACGATGGAATGAATTCGACATTGCTTTCATACGAGTACGATCATGTTTGATCATATCATGATGATATGGACGATGATTACTTATATATGAATAAGATTCATGATGAATCATGTCTACAGTATTCGATGGAGTTTCAGCTATATAACAACTAAGACATTGTAAAGTCACTTGTTCGTTAGCAGGATTGATAAATTCATTCGATACAGTCAACATCATATCGCCTCCGAATGCTTGCCAATAAATAAAAATACAATCACTTGGACCATATTGTACTTGATATTGACGATAAGATTGAGAGATAGTTATGGGTGTCACAACATGATGCCCAAATTTGCTCGGAGCTAATGTTATAATAGTTCCGTTAGTTGAATGAAATTTATTTTGAGCAATTTTCTTCATCACTTCATTGATTACATATTTTTGATAAGAAGCACGATTTTCTTCCAATACTTTCATAGAGTTTAAATCGACAGTATGCTCTGTAACTGTTAGACGATCACGAAAAATGTCTTTGGCTGCTTGCTGAGCAGCTGTTGATAGCTCTGTGAAAATATTCTTTGGTATATAAACATGATCAATGTAGTCCAATGGTATCAGTTGTGGTAAATGAGCTTCCAACACTTGATGAGAGTCAGCATGAAACCAATAATTCTGAACATCACTAAGACTGATATTCGTTATGTCTTTATTTTTTCTGACCAATGCCATCAGCTCAAGAGCCGCTGCCTCTTCATAGTCGAGCACAGAACAATGTAATTTGTTCTCATGAAATTGCTTAATTCGAGCTTCTGGTGTTCCGGGATCTCTGAGCCATGGTCGCCATTTGTATGCATTGCAACTGGGACCAAAAGTTGTTGCTGCATGAATCGAAAAGTTTGAATCCGGATGGAACATCAATTCACGTTTGAAAACAAGAAAAATATCACCATAATAATACCCTAAGTGTGGTCCTAAAATGCTAAAGACGTGTTTGTTCGTGCCCAATGTTTCGTCGGGCTGGTAACCCATACCCATCGGATTAGCATGAAGGTTCAGAGAGGCTTGAGCTATGTTCGTTGCATGTGTTCGAATCGTGGCAATTTCTTCTGATGTGAGTAATAATTTCAATTGGACTTCTTTAGTGTTCATTGTATACATATGTTGAGGATTTGGTACTATATGAGAAGTACCATCACTAGCATCGGGTTTTTTACTGCTCTCGTTAAATTTCAATGCCACCAGAGCGTGAATAAATTCTTGACCATGCCTTTTTAATGCTTCATTATTCTTTCGATCGAATATTCGTCGTACTTGATCATGATGTTCAACTGCATTAGCTACAAATTGTGGTTCAACTAATAAATTCATATAAGCTCGACTCATGACATGACCATGAACAAGAATCGATTCGAAAATGAGTTTATTACAACGATGTATAGGTAGTAAATCACGAATCCACTGGATAAGATCGGGTGGAATATTTAATTGCGATATGTTCCATCCTTCATCTTTAGCATAGGAGCAAATAGTTTGTGTCATTTTGTATTGGTTGCGTACAAAATTAACATTATTATTGAGACCAAAATATTGAATAACACCATTTTGATTATAATTACCAATATGACGATACTGTTTTATGTGATCAGGATTCAATCGATCACGACATTCAGATCCTAGATATTTACACGGGAATCGAATATCATTAATCTTCGGATGTGAGTATGAATTCATATGTTCTTCATCGGTTAATTTAAAACATCTATCCAATGCCAAACACATTTTTCTTTCGATATGAATCGAAGTACGAAGATGTAATTCATTTTTATCGGAACATTGTTGACCTAAGGGACACACATGTGAAAAAGTAAGACAATGCTCATCGACTTCTCGTTTCATTTTTTCTCTAGAAGGATATTGACGTATTTTTAAGAATTCCAGATGATATCGACATAAAAATGGTGTTAATGGACAAGGTGGATTGAATGGATGAGATCGTTCATTAAAATGTGTTTCATTATGAAAATGAATACAATTACCACCGAATTCACAACTGAGTTTAACATGACGATATGAACGACAATGAGTTCGATCTTGTTTTCGAAATAATATACATTTGGTGGGACCATCTCTACACACTGGTAAATGACGATATTGTAATAAATGATCTTTACTTATATCTGTACAATCACCTTGTCGAGAACAAAATTCTGGATGACTATATTGACGTATATGTTTTTCATCATTGATTAATTGGCATTCACCAGCATATTTACATTTATTTAAATGAGTAAATAAGCTATCATGTACATCATCCGAATGTGTTGGATCACATGTATCATATTGAAAACATAGAGGTGGATGAGAATATAAATGACAATGTCCTACATCATTTAAATCAGAACATCGGCCTCCGTATCGACATGGTGGTAAATCGAATATACATACATTATTAATGGTCACCTTTTCTAAACGTTTAGCTAGAATTGTGTAGGGTCCACTGGTCATTCTCACACTGAGCTCACAAGTTGATGACTGTACACAAAATTTATCAAGGATACGACTAAATGTTAAATAATTTCCTTCATGATTGGGCCAATGACTGCCATTCTGTTCATCGATAATAGCAAAATAAATAGTCTTAAAATAACCGGCATATTGTTGGATAATCGATTTGAAAATAAAAGCAATATGCATTGATGTATTCGAAGATGCATCACAACCAAGAGCTGATAAAACAAGACAATCATGACCATGATGATAAGCAATAGCAAAGAGATTTTCAATTTTCTTTCGCATGCCTTGTTCATATTTATCGGCGAGTAAATTTGGGTTATTTTGTTTTGATTGTGTTTGTTGATAGGGAGCCAATGCAATAGCACAAACGCTATATATTGGATTATCAAGATAAGCATATCCTTTATTTTTCGTATCACGAAATAGTGTAATACCTGATGTATAGATTGCACCAAATTCATCCATTGGATACATTGTTTCATGATTTTTAAGCAATTTTTGTTGTCCATTTTCTGTACACCAATAACGTTCAACTCGATCTGTTTCATCCAATTCAGCATCAAGACTTAGATAATAATCAGATCGTCGAAAGAGATTTCCTTCTTGGGTATCAACTCCTTGTCGATGTCTACCACCAGCTATCTCAGGATTACACATATTGAGTATAACTGGTCGATTACCGCTTAATACTAATTTCGTATAGACAACTAGACAATCATCATTTATTACTTTTACTTTTGTTGATGAGAATGGAGTTGTTGGTATTGATGATATTTCTCTCGTGAGTGCCAATTTCGATCGATGATTATAGACAATAGTTTTTAATTGTTGAAATTTCAATTTAATTTCTTTTCGACTGTCTGTTATGTAACTTTTCTTACGTATTACACCGATTGTGTTAAGCATAACTGAAACATTTAATAATTGTTTTTTATTCATACTTTGCTTACCATGAATATTTTGAACGTTCGAAAATTGTTCTAACCAATATTGAGAATTCCATTTATACTTAAATATTAGATGATCAGGCTTAAATATGAATTGCAATATATCAGGTTTTATGTTGAGCATCTCTGTTTCATACCAATTTTCAGCATTAATTTCTTGATTTTCTGGATCATTGACAATTTTCCTATATGGATCTATAAGCATTTTATGATCCTTTATACATAAAGCACCCCATATTAAACATTGATCATAAACAGACTTATTACTAAGTTCAAGAATAAGTTTATCATTAATTTTTGTATGTTTTACAATATTATTTTGAAACTGTTTGTGTCGAATAATAGTATCAATTGGTAAAGAATTTGGTACAGGCGAGATAATTACTCGAAAGGCGAGACATTTCTTTTTTGTAAAAATATGAGATTTAAGAGTAATATTATTGGTATTAACCCATTGACGAGCCGTATTACATGCTAGAACCACAACGCATAATGCTTGTTTATTATATTGAACATAATATTTTGGTTCATTAGACTGATTCATCATCTGACTTTTAATAACTGATTTAATCTCATCGACAGTAATATTCTCTGGTAAATCTTCAAAATAACTACAATCAGTTCGAATATATATATTAACAAAGTGGTTTTTGATTCGTAATGTATCAGTAGCTTGAATAGTGAGTAAATCATCGAGCGAATGCGTTGTTAGTTTAAATATATTTGGAAATAAAACGGATAGTTGTTCACATTGAGGTAATTCATTAGATGATTGACATATTTGAGCCCAACGATGAGTTATTTCTTCTGTGGTTATAACTTCTTTCAAGTTTTCGTCAAATACAATGTACGATATGAATTCACATTGTTCAATAAATGAGATTGTTATATTTTTACGAGGATCCAGTAGAATTGCTTGAATTGTATTAACGAGAGCATATTTTTGAGTATTACCAGAGACAAATATGATACCAATACCAATTTTAGGATAACATTTAACATTTGTTACACATATATTATGATTACTATCCAGACGTGATCGTATCATTTGTTCTAATTCTTTATCAATAATGTTACTGGGTAAATCTGGAATGTAGACAATATATTCGGACCTCGATGTCAATTTATCAAATTTAGGTAGGATCTTTGAAGTAGATGACGTTGGGATTTGATCCGGTTTGCATTTTGGAATTGTAGGAGAAATCGATGTCTGAATCGAATCTGTAGATGTTTTCCGATAACCAGATTCGGGTCGCTTACCCATATTACACATTCCACACACATTATCGTTCTCATTATTAAGAAAAGTACATATTGGACAGTCCCATTCCATAAAAAGTTCATGTGGCGTAGAAGAGGTTTCTTTGTCCATCTGCTGAGACTGATTATCGGTTTTTATAGATGACAATGACGTCGAACTGAACTTTATGAAACACGATCTGAAAGAGTATTGAAGTGTACATAGGCAGAAATTTGGATCTGAGTGTGGGTGTGGGTGAGTGTGGAGTGTGGGTGTGCGTGTAGGTGTGGGCGTAGGTCAAAGATGGAACCGGTACCGGTTACCGGTCGGTTCGTTCCGGTCCGGTCCGGTACCTATCTGGGTTTTGGATCGACCGGTATATACCGGTCTATTAGTAATACATCGATTCTTACAGTGAGGTTCCTTTTCAATGTATATCCAACGTCTGACCGGTGTAGACCGGTTGACCAGTATACCGGCCGGTCCGGTCCGATTCTTTCTAGACTGGTACCGGTACCGGTACCGGTATGGAAAAAACTAGACCGGTTCCATCTCTGGCGTAAGTGTGTGGGTGTGGGTATGGATGTGGGTGTGGGTATGGATGTGGGTGTGGGTGTGGATGCGGGTGTGGGTTTGGGTGCGGGGTGTGGGTGTGGGTGGATGTGGGTGTGGGTGTGGGTATGGGTATGTGGGTGTGGCTGTGAGTGCGGGTGTTGGTGTGGATGTGGATGTGAGTGTGAGTTTGAAACTGTTCATTTCACACCCGCACCCACACCCAAACACACACACATTTACTCCACACCCACACCCCAGAATCCGGCTCTCCATTTTATTGATTATTTCCCTTGAATTCTCTTGCTTCTACTGGTTCCTGATGAATCCTAGTGGATTCTGGGATCCATCAGGATCTATAGGATCTGCTCTTTTCTCCCTGAATCAAAATGTCTTGAAAATTACATAACAAAGTATGCAAGCATTGCTATAAAAATCGATCGATTACTTGAGATAGTACTAAACCAGCAAAGTGCTTGGATACTCTCCAGATGCTTTCTGCATTACAAGTCCCAAGTACTTAAACTCTGTATCTATACTAAGATGACAACTGGACTATGAATACATGTGCCTCTTTTATCTAAACTCAAAGCTTGAAGGGAGTATATATTCTGAAAGATTTTTTGGAGGAAACGGCTTTTAATATCACTAGCAACTGTACATGGAATGATCAACAACGCTATCAATGTTAAAAATGACTTTAACAACGGAAGACATAAGAGTTTACCTTTCTCTTTTCACTTTGTGCAAAGACGTTCTGCGACAAACGTAAAATCAAAAGTGACACACCATTTCGTTGCTTACTAGAACAAAGAATTTCTCTTTTCTCTTGGTCGCTCACATTCGATGCAACTTCTATCGTTTCGTCGAAGTAGAGAACTCGTCACCATCATAAAAATGCTTTGTTGTTCGATCAACATTGGTATGAAAAATGAATAAGTTTCGTACTCTCAGAAGCAATCAGTTCGTTATCTATTATTGATAAGCAAGATGTACTAAAGAGTCTTTTTGGCATCCTTTAGATTTTTTTGAGCAAGTCGCGAAAATAGCTCGTGTTTCCAAAGATGTTAAGGACTGTTCACATGCGCTGCCCGTAAGAAGAAAGTCTGTTTATTTGAACAGATCGATGTGCCTAAAAGAAGCCAATGTTTTACCCCACAGATACGTATTTATACCGACTTTGACTTAGGAGCAATTTCTTGCTTTTCAGTGAATCTCATCGACCCGTCTGCGATTTAATCAATTGACGATGCAATAACGAGAGAAAAACAAAAAGGTGAAAGTAAGCAGAACGCCACGGATATTGTATGAAATAAACAAACATTGTTCTCTCCTTTGATACTTATGTTAAAAAACGCTTTCAAACTCTTTTCTTTTTCATCATTTCGACGATGTAAAGAAAGAAAAATAAAAACTGTCTCGAGGAGAAGAGCGCCAAACAATCGACAGCATCAATACAAAGTTTTCAATTCAATGAATCACGTAGAGTGAGAAAAGAAAAAATCGAAGGATCGTGTGCAGGAGACGAGCATTAAATATAGTGCAAAGTCCAGTGCCAAAATCAGGAAACACCCTTAAGGTGTGGGTGTGAGGGTGTGGATGTTTGGTGTGGGTGTGTGAGTGTGGGGTGTGGGGTGTTGGATGTGGGTGTGGATGTGGGTGTGGATGTGGGTGTGGATGTGGGTGGGGTGTGGGTATGAATGTATTTGCTCCACACCCACACCCACACCCCACGTTCACACTCACACCCACACCTCACATCCACACCCACCCACACCTTCAATGGATTGGGTCAGATTTCGGCAGTGCAAGGCGATCAGATTCCAACCTTAAGTATCCGAATCTCATGCCTTAAACCAGATTCGTAGAGGTTTTCGTCGCTTTGGCACAAAATTCGATTGGATCCGCTTGTCAAAATGATCCTCGTGAAGCTTGTTGTCGGGGAGCACATATCCATATGGACCAAGTGGCGGGTCAGTGTCTGTTCTGCTAGCAGTCAACATGAAATCCTTCAAATAACAAATCGAAAATCTGCGGTATTATGTATGGTTATGTTATTATTTGACAGTTTTGACCCACGAACTCACCTTTTTTGGACTCTTGGATGTAGCTGGGCTTGTAGAGCTTTTCACACTCTGTGGAATGAGATATAAGAGAAATCTGGTACTAGTTGTTATTATGAAAAATCAGACACATAAGTATAATTTATATTTGAGAAAAAAAGACAAAAATCTTGTTTTCTATGTATAGTTATGCTATTCTTTGATAGTTTTGACCGACAGGCCCACTTTTTTAGGCTCTTAAAAATAGCTAGTTTTGTAGAGCTTTTCAAGCTCTATCGAATGGTATATAAGAGAAATTTGGATATCGTTTCTATTTTGCAAAAATCAAGTATATAAATGTATTCCCTAGACTGAAAGTATAGGGTCTAGAAACGGAAATTCGCCTGTGTCTGTCTGTCTGTCTGTCTGTAACACGTATGGTTACCATTCCCTAGACTGAAAGTATAGGGTCTAGAAACCGAAATTCACCTGTGTCTGTCTGTCTGTCGGTAACGCAGTCAAAATGGCCATTTTTTTGGCACACGTGACCATTTTTATGGCATAAACGACCACTTTTTTGGCACAAGTGACCATTTTCGTGCCACAAATGGCCATTTTTTTGGCACAAGTAACCATTTTTTTGGCACAAACGGCCATTTTTTTACTAAAATTAACTAGGTAACTATGGTACAAATGAGCATGTAACTATGGCACAAACGGTCATTTTTTTGGTAGAAACGACCACATAACTATGGCACAAGTGACCATATAGCAATCATGGTACAAACAGCTATTCCGGTAACTATGGTACAAATGACCATCTAAAGACTGATGTAAATGAACCCATAATAATCATGGGTAAAATGTCAATGGAATAACTATAATTTGGGTAGTGATGTAAAACGGCTTACTTACACAAGCATTTAATTAGTGAGAGTCAGACCAAATGAGCAGTATGGATTTAAAGAAATCGTTTAAATTATTCATTATTGTAAGATTGATTGTGCAATGTTGTATCAATGAATATCTAATTTATTAATAGTTTAGAATTAATGCATGAATTTAAGCATAAAATATTGATTAATAAAACTCAAATTTTATGAATAATATAATTTATATTTTTGTACGTACAAATAGCGCCAATATAATTATAAAAAAATCGTATTGTTGTCTAATCTTATTAGGCGCTATTTATATTCATAAAAGCAAAACAAAAATAAAACAAAAACGATAAAAAAAAATTAAATTTGTAAATGCATCATCTTTACTTAGAGTGAGAATTCTCCAAATTAAGTTTTCTGGTCGCCTAAGATATACTGGTCATATTATCAATGTTGCGTATTACTTTTTTAATGTAGCTTTTTATGCTATTCCTTCCGTACATGTATTCTATCAGTCTAGGGCTACGTGAATCGCTTGACGATGAACGTTACTTGTTTCATATATAAAATGAGAAATATATTGTTATTGTGTAGGCAATGGAGAATCTCTATTTCACCTGGCAACAATTAAAATAGTATTATAGGTGAATGAGTTTATAAGGAAAATGTAGCCAGACGAAAGATCTATCAAAAACTCGTTGAGTTAATGTCCATTTTTAATTTTCTTTCTTCAAAACGTTCATCATAATATTATACAGCGTTTTTGATCAACTAATGACTGAAGGTGTGGTCAATGCAAGACCCTAATGACAATCAAAATCTTATAAAAACACATCGAATTTAGCATCAAAATGATCAGGAAACTTTCCTCTATCGATTCGTATATGATTCAATGGTACTTGTCACCAAAATAAAAAAAGGGCCAAATTCCAGCCTTATACGCTCCCGTCCTTTACTTTTGATATACGAAATGATGCATGATCTTAATGAAAATGATAAAAGATTCTTTGATTTTTTTATCTTCTATTTAATTTAAATAATCTTCAATTGCAACAATAGGCTCATCACTTTGAAGATTCCATAATTTAACACTTCCATGAAATGAACTAGATGCTAAATCTTATGTTAATATTGACTGAGGATGCCAACTAACATAACAAGCATTTGTTGTATGACCACGGAATGTTCGGACATGTTTACAATCTGGTATTGTCCAAGGTTTACATAAATCATTCCTGAAATTAAACAAAAATATCTATCAAAATAAGATTAAAATTTAGAATTCACATATGTAATCTATACTATACTACTTATTATAATCTTATTTACTATAAATTCATGATTAAGAAGAACATTATTTCATATAAAATTCGATTATTTTCAAAATGTTCCATTAAGAACAGACTTTTCTCAGATAATTTTCTTTGAAAAATTGTCATTAATATCTCTGTATTAATAAGTGTCTTTTATTTCATTGTAATAATGACATATTATGTATGGTTGCATATCACATTTCATTTATTCATCAATATGCTACTATGAGAAATAGTTATCAGTAACTAAATCTTATTATCAAATTTGCAATAGGAAACAGATTTTTCAAGAATAATATTAAACAAAAGAGAATTGATCAAAGATTGAGTTTATATATATACATATGTAAACGAAGAAACTAAGTGAGCATTTTTCAAATACGATTATTTCATAGAAAATAATCTTTATTATTATGATATTAGTTGAAATATGATCAAATAGCATAGAAAAGTAGAACTTCATTTTCTCTATCATCTTATAAAAAAAAGAAAACTTCGTTGAACTTAATATTCGGAAATAAGGTATCTCCGACAGAACTTTTGGATTGACATAAGTATTTGAGAATTCATAAGAGTGGAATAAGATCTCATAGATACAGATGATTGTGTTCTATTGATTGATATTTACTGAAAATGAAACAAACATTTATAATACAATGAAATACAATATGGGATAATAAAACGAATGGGCTCTTGCTTTTTACCCAAGGGGAAACCAGCAGACTCAAGACTTCGTAAGGATTCACAACCGAAGTTTCTGCTGATTCCTTCTCGTTTTTTTTTACTTTGAAGATAAATATTTATGAGAAAATATTTCGATCTACCACTCGTATATGCTGAGATGTTGAGATAAGAAAAGACAGAGAAACAAATATTGCGTCGTTGTAATACTTGCTTATCTATTGTAATTGTTCAGTCTTTCATTTTTTCGCTTGACTCAACGAATTCATACTGAAGCGACAATAATGGCTAAAGTAAACATCGAACAGCCACGAGATAGCAATCAGCCAATACCACAAATGTTTCTATGGATGCCATCACCAGGATTAGCTGATCTTTCGCCGGGCTTGCCTTTGGGTCTACAGTATCTCGCTCAACTCGATACATTAATGGCTATACAAGAACCGAGTGTCATGCAGAGTATATTAAATATATTCTTTTCCTCGACATATTATATCATCATCTTTTAAATAGCTATTACGGGTCTCTCTAGTGCTCAACGCTTTCATATACTTAATCAACAAGGTCAACTTGTGTTTTACGCAGTAGAAAGTAAATTAAAATTGTTCACTTGATTAATATGTTCATAAATTTAATCATCATGTATTTTGTCTACAGATGAAAGTGATACATGTCATCGATGGTGTTGTGGTGCTAATCGAGCTTTTGTTATTCATGTTTTTGATCAAATGAATCAAGTATGCATGAAATATGTTGAGTTTTTGCTAATATTTGTTAAAATTATAGGAAATTATTCGTATCTCACGTGAATTTAAATGTTGTGTTGGATGTTGCTGGTGTGCTAGTGGTAGTTGTTGTGCACATGAGGCATTCATTGAATCACCACCTGGAGTTCATATTGGTACTGTTAGACAAACGTAAATTCAATATTTATATAAATTCTAATCTTAATTATTTGTTTTTTTTTTCAGACGAAGTTTTTGGCGAGGTCATCTCAGTTTGACAGATGCTGGTGGTAACGAACATTTACGTGTGATTGGTCCATGTTGTATATGTCAAGGAGTTTTTTGCTGCTGCTGTGAGAACAAATTTACTGTAAATTTTAAAGAAAATCAAAAAAATTCATTTGCTTCTTTCATGAGAATATTTTCTATGAATAGATATATGGTGCCGAGAATAATGGTGATGGAGAGTTGGGTGCTATTTACAAAGAATATGCCGGTTTTGTCAATCAAGCATTTACGGGTGCTGAAAAATATACTATAAAGTGTAAGCTAAAATAGAACTGATTAATCTAACGTTTAATATTTATTTCTGGTTCAGTTCCAGCGAGTTTACCTATTCAAATGAAGGCTGTAGCTTTGGGTGCTCTTTTTCTCGTCGTATGTGTTGCTATTTGCTATGTGTTTAGATTTTTTTTTTTAAATCTACATTCTATTCTTTTCTTTTTCTATCTAGAATTTTATGTATTTTGCGGGAAATGCTGAACAAAAGGGTGGCTCAAGTCTTCTGTCACTACTTGGCTGATTTGATTTCAGACAAAAAAAAATATAAACCACGAACTGATTTTTGTTGCTTGTAACTTGCATATATTATTTTATTTTTCCTTCTATGACCACGACATATCTAACTGTAAATTTAATTTGATTCTATGAATAATTCAATTGTAGATTGAACAAAGAGATTACATGTAGAGATAGTGATTCAATAAAATATTTGGTAAGAATTCAAATAGACATTCGTGCACCTGTTCTTGAAATATTTATTTCAGCAGCTAATCTTCTTGTTGATGTCCATTTCTTCTGAGCTAATCATCATTGCACTTTTGAGATATTGGCTTTTGTCCAAACTGTGTACGGATGACTGTGGGAGTATGACAAATTGATAGAGCCTATGTTTTTGATCATTTTAATTCATAATTTAATTTTCAGTAATGAAAATACTCTACTTGAATGATAATAAATCTTTATTGATCTATCTCTACTTTCATATTTACGTTTTACAGCTGTTTGCACGTTTTTAATTTTACAGCTTTCTGAAATATATATCTAGAGTGTCGAGAAGTGATGATTGTTGAATCAGATGCTCAACATCAAAAAATCTGAAATGTAAAGAGAAAATGAACATTTAATAGCCTATTCAGTGACTGCAGATGTTTCCTGAATTTGGTATCGTATATTTCTCCAGAATCGATAGAGTTAAAAATCATACACATTTTAGTAACAGAGGTTCTTTCTTATATCATATAGTCTTCCAAGAAAAAACGTTAGGACGAAATACAAGTGTCAGTTCGATACGCTTGACATGGTCGATTGAAACATGCATTATGAGATTCTACATCTGATAGAATATCAACCAATGCAAATCAAAGACAGACTTATATCCATCCTGATGTTTTCTTGTATTTGAATAAAAGCCAGTGGCTGTTTGCTATATTTTATTTAGATCATTGCTATTGCAAAAGTTTCTTTTTTAAATAAAAACAAGAAATGACCCCTCATTAAATTACTACTACTTGACATATTCATTTTCGATCTTTGGGAAATCATTAGAGAAATCAATAAAATACGTAATTCGATGTACAGCCTTTTAGAATAATGAGAAAAATGTCTGTGACTATAAACAAATTATTTTTATTACAAAGTAAAGTTCATTGTGCAAATGTGATCAAAGTTTGATTAAGAAGTGAGAAAATTGTATAGAAAAGTAAATAGTTGCTAACGAATTGTATGTTGATCGGTTGAACTAATAGTCACAAAATACGAGACAGTAATTTTCAAATGTATATAGATATATTATGTGCGTGGAAGCTGCTCAACAATACGCCATCGTTTAATAATCAAATCGGCCACTTCTTTTGCTGTAATCATTTCTGAAACATCAATGTAGAAATCATCATTGAAAAGATCCAGAGTTTCTATGTTGATATCCTCTAATTTAATGAGTAATAATCTATCATTTTTCTGCTTAGCTGGACGAACCATAAAACGTTGTTTGATAACTCGCCATTCGTAAAAACAAAAGTCAGACAATTCATAATCACGTGAAAGAAAGACAATAACGAATGAAGCTTTCTCGTAGATCTTTCTTAAAAATGGATTTCCATAGATTTGTGCCACTTTATGTTGATACCATGGAGCAAAGAATATTTTTTCAGACAATTCTTTCTGGACTTCTTCGCAAATCTGTTCTACTTGATCTTTATTTTTTCCAGAAAAGGAGATACCGATTGGATAACAATTTTCATCGTCTGATGAATGTGTATTTCTTTGAGAAGACAATGCTGATTGGTCAGGTAAAGTTGATAATTGTTCTACAATATTATTTAGATAGGAAATATGTTAGTCAGAAGAACTTCTTGAAATTAAAAACTCACCAACAGTAGATGAGAATGATACTTCGGGAGACACAGTCGCGATAGCGGAACTAATATCTATATATGCCGAAAGTAAAGAGGAACGAAATAAATTTTACTAAATTTATGATCTTTGATTGACCTGTTAAACATTTCTGATCTAATAAATCATTACAACCAAAGTGTGTAACAGCATCGCATATATTCAGCTGGTTCAAAGCATCTACGGGTTCGGTTTCCTGTATTTCTATTAAATCAAATTAATTTATATAATGTTTAAATGAATTATTTAACTATAATCTACCATCACACGAATCAGTTTGACAGCAAACATCCTTTACAAGCTTCTGAATCGATTCATTATTCTTGCGTAAGAATTGCATCTTGAAAATCTACAATTGAATAATCAATATATTTTTATTCACGTTAAAAAATTAAATTACTTACTCGTACTAAACGAAACCATACATATAGACACCATTGTTTTTTGAGTTGCCACCATTGCTTTCCAAGACGTCCGAACCATTCTAGGATCGAAAGGAGCTTCCTCTTTAGTACGATAGATGTAGATTTAATAAGATTATGTGCGTCATCATTAATGTCAGACATGTTTGTACGTCACGAAAATTCTACGATTAATTTTTCTTTGTATTCTACTTAATAAAAATAAAAGAAAAAAAAGGAAGCAAAGAATCCTTTGTATACACAGTAGGAAAGATAAAACAATATGGAAAAAACCTATTTACATGGCTATTTGAAGATTGTCAACGTGATGATGACTATGCACAGAAACAAAAAAAATCAGATTGCTGATTCATCGCAATCCAAACAGAGAGTAATACAATGAAATATTGCTTTAGATAAAAAGTAGACGCTCGTAAAAAAACAAAACGTTTAATGATTTCGTGTCGAACAAGCTGAGTTGAATAGAATGTATAGGAATGAAACGATATGCATAGAAAAGGCCGAAACAAAAAATGTCGAAACAAAAAGCATCGGAAAAAAAACGTCGAAAGAAAAAACATCGAAAAAAAATATCGAAATAGAAAAGGTAGAAAAAAAAATATCGAATGTGTAAAAAGGTCGAAAAAATTGTGAATGTGAATCAAGAGAAAAGTCACATTTTTATTCATACTAGGATCCTGCGGCATACGGCTTTGTCATGCTTCATCCCCTTTCTATCCGAAAAGTTTTACGCTCTTACTGTGTGCTTTCCACGTCTGACCAGTCTAACCAAGACTGAGAAATACCAATCCTGGATCTTGGTGATCAAAATGAAGTCAAGTAGTTTCATCTGACTCCATGGACAGTCGCCTAGATCTCAAATCCACTTTTTCTCTCTCAACGCTAACCCTACTTTACTCTATAACTTGTTACTTAAACGTTAGTCTACATGACTCATATTTGCACCCCTCACACATATATTTTATGTTCAAAGGACCCTGCCGAATTTAGTGACCTAGTTGGAACAAGAACATCCTATATATGGTTTTGTAGAGAATTTTAAGACGCATCGAATGGTATATAGGAAGTTAAATTTTCATTGAGTTTTCATGTCATAAGAGCCCATATACCGAGTATAAATCTATAGGAATTTACAAATACTGGGGACTTTATGGTGCTCTATAATAAATATATGTGAATCTCGTTTTAAAACACAATTCAATACAGTTATAGGTACTCTTTAATTTTTTAGAATCGATAAGTTTGACTGCAGTTTTTTTGTAATTAAAAAGGGTCGTTTCCCATAGGTCTAGGCTGTTTATTGGCAAAATGACATTTCAGTGTGCTCAGTCCTGTGTCGCAGGACAATTGAGCAACAACGTGAAACTTTCTCAAAAACTACACACCAGTGGCCTCTACATGTTTCATAGAACAAATCTTCTGGAATAGTAGGGGCTGACTGGTAGCATATGAGATAGTGGTGCAAAATACCCTATTTTAACTAATTATGGCCCAGGTATATTGCCAAAATCTTGACAACATTCAGCACTTCTAATAAAAAATTTTATCTATAAATAATCATTGAAGTATGCCTCATCATTTAACATAAATAAATTCTTTGCAGATTGAAAAAACAAAATTTTCGACCCCAGATCCCTGGAGGGGGTACGGGGATAAGGTTCCAAACCATGGCCCTCTTTTTTCTTGAAATTCTTTTGTCAGTTTCATTCCCAATCATGTATATATTATGTATGGGTGAAACTCTAAAAGAATCCATATAGAGTTGGTGTTCAGTGTAAAAAAAATTTTTCTCCGTGTACCCGTACCCCCTCCAGGGATCTCGGGTCGAAAATTTTTTTTTCAATCTGTAAAGAATTTATTTATTTTAAAAGAAAATAAAAACTGGCAATGCAGGCTCTGAAAATATATTACATGGATTTGTCCTGTATTTGAATATTTCAGAGAATGTCCATGTACAGAGTTTTGAGTGCATAAGAATAGAATACATCACATATTGTAATATTTCAATGAAACAATAGTATAATATACAACAGTATGTTTCAAAATTCTTTTACTAAAAGAATTGTATAACTCCGTCATTTTTCAAATGAATCGGAAAATTATTTCAAGTTAAGTTTATAAAAATCATATGTTTTACATTAGGAAAAAAAATCAACTTTCAGAACAGACTCTTGACTTCATTAATAACCAGACAGCTTCAAAATAAAAATTTTTCTACACACTTTTTCTGTTGTTTGAAAAGTTTGCAATGATTTACATCAATAAAAAAAACCTATAACATCGCCAAAATGGAAATAAGTATGATGGGATTGTACCCCACAGTCGACTTAGTACTACTATGTAGTTTTTCTCTTTAAAAAGACGAATCTAAGCCAGTCTGAATGTTTGACAAAATATTCCTTCTATCATCCTTTGACAGGTAACTCATTTCAAATTTTCTTTTATTTAAGAAAAAAGTTAACCCCAATTCTGTAGAACTCTAGTACTACCTTGAATAATTCAGCAAGATCAACTATCTATCTTCACATTGTAAGATATGTATTTTGTGGATACAGAATAAACAGTATTTAGTCTTGCTGAGAGTAGATGCTCAATTATTCATACTCAATACTACTTGATTCTAATATATGTTGTTGTTTTGCTTTATCAAACTGATCAACCTGTTGTGAGTCATTCATGTCGAAAATCTATTACAGTAGGCAATCATTGAGTATCTTTGATCATATTACATTCTTGTGTTTTTGTATAGCACTTGATTATTTGACAATGTGGAAAAATTATTATAATATTCTACAAACATCTTGTTGTTGACGTTTTCATTTTGTTCTATGGGAAGATAAAAGCTAACATCTCATATATATTCTTAAATTCTATTCTAGTAAGATCAAAAGAAAGAAAATCACTATAGTACAATAATGCATCGAAAGCAAAATAGAAAAAGCTTATTTCTTAAACCGATTTTGTTTTCACATATTTTTCATCCAATTAAATTTTATTATACATATTGGATAATAGAAAATATGGTAAAGGTATAACTAACGTTTTGAACCGTGATAGGAGACATTTCAGTTGATCTGTTCCTGTCACTATAAGGAATTTTTAAATAATGCAACTCTTCAACAAATGCAAAGAATTGTAATTTTGAATTCAAAATTCCAGTCATCATTTAAAAATTCACTCGTGCAAAACTTACTTTGAGAAGAGATACTCTAACTGTTCTACATTTTCTAGCGTTCTGTTGAACTCATTTCTGCCCGAGATTTTATCAAAAGAGTCGGCTTCTCTTCATACAAATGCAATTTCATAAATTATAACTCAAGCGTTATTTTAGTTTCAGTAGTATCTTGTATAATCTTAAATTGCAATGCACGATGTAAGCATATACGATAAAAAACGGAAGGAAGATTGAAGTGACGCTCGACTTGACGAGCAGAACAAAAGAATTAATTACATTGCATCGTCACGCATCTCTACCAATCAACATCACATGCTCAAACAAATGCCAGAAAAAGCCTAGGCTCTTTTTTTGGTAGAATGCATGTATTTAACTTTCCGACACCTTTAGGATAATTTTTGAATGACATCAACGCATTACTCATGTTAACTAGAAGACTGAATTCATTTTCATTCTATTCATATTGTAAAACATCATCATGAATTCAACAACAGTAAGTATCGTTAAAATCGTTCTCGATTCTTCAATCATTGTCTCTGCATCGCTCGGTATCATTTCATCGTTAGTGATGTTCATACGGATACAGTACCATTTAAAAGTAACGAAACGTTCTCCGGATACAGTACCGCTTTTATTAACAGCGAATATGTATTTGGCGATATTTTTTTACTGTACATCTATGCTGGACACATATGGACGTATTTTGAGCAAA